ACAACTTTCTCGCATTTGCGATGCTCGCAAATGCGAACTTGGTATCGCGTTTGCGACATCTACAGCTGGTAAAACTTGACTTAGACGGGAATTTCGCTCATTCTTCAAAACTTTCAAAACAAAAAACCTTATAGGCGATTTTCCAAAGACCATTTCTTCCCCAAAACAATGGTAAGTGATTCTCATCCACCTTCTTTCAATCTTTCCTTACATTTCGCAAATCTTTAACCTAATATCTAGGATTTTCATGGTGGAAATTTGGGGTTTGGGTAGAATTAGGGACTTTTGTATAATTGGAATTTATACCTCGAATTGAGGTTGGAGTTCGAAACAAATTACATAATCGGGCTCGGGGGTGAATGGGTAAATGGATTTTGGTCTAAACCTAGGATTTTGACCAAGCGGGCTCGGGGTCGCTTTTAGATTTTTGGGGAAAAGTTTGAGAAATCTAAATTTATGCATTTTAGTTGATTTCTTTAGCAATATTTGATGTTATTGTGTTAATTATGGCTAAATACGAGTGGTATGGAGGCTAATTCTAGGGGAAAGACCCCGATAGAGCTTTGAATTGACTGCGGAGTGAGGTAAATGTTGTGTCAAACGTTGAGTTGAGGGAATTAGGAACCCTTGGACTATGTGCTATGTGATTCTCATGTGAGCGGCGTATATGCGAGGTGACGAGTTCTTATACGCCGCCGAATTATCGATTTTCCTGATTTACCGCTTTTCCTTAATTATTTCCTTTCCCGCCTTAACTGTTATATGCTCCATATGCTTTCCATGGTTAATTCTACTTGCTATTCAATATCTTTCCCTGTTCATGATGTTACTTCTTCCATAGTTTCATGACTCCCTGCTATTTGTTTAAGTTGACTTACTTGCACCTTCTAATTGTCAATTGTTGGATTGGTCTCGATGTGTAGTATTACTGGCGTAGATTTCTTTATTATACAAGTCCCTTTTGGTTCAGTTTGGTATTAATTTATCGTAAAGGCTTTGTAGTTGAACTATTGATTTGGTTATGTTTTGACAATTTGGTACTGTATGGTGGGATCGGGCTGCACGCCGCAGCAGGTGTAATAAGGGTGGATCAATATGGTGGAATAAGGGTGAATATGTTTTACACAGTTGGATCGGGTTGCACGCCGCAACAAGTGGAATAAGTGTGGATTGATATGGCGAAATAAGGGTGAACTGTGATACTGATATTAATATATGGTGGGATCGGGTTACGCGCCGCAACATATTTATCTACATCTTCTCTATTATTGATGTTATTGCAATGGAATAAGGGAGTATTATGTGTTGTCAGGTGGGATCGGGTTGCGCGCCGCATCAACCTATTTGTTTCCATTTCATAAGCTGTGTTGGTTTTCGGTATTTTTATTTTAATTGCTAAAGATTGGTAATTCTGAGCGACACTGGTTTAATCTTGAGGTTGTGGTTACTAGTTTTAGTTGGCTGTTTAATTCTGTTTAGTATTCCCATTTTATGTCATTATTATACATTGCATACAGGTTGTAGTGTAGGTAACCACCTTAGCCTAGTCACTACTTTGTCGAGGTTAGGCTCAGCACTTACTAGTACATGGGGTCGGTTGTACTGATACTACACCCGGAACACTATGCAGATTTTGGAGTCGGTCCTAGTGGCGACTATTAGAGAGCTCGGATTGGACATCCTGTGTAGACTTGAGGTACAGCTGCTCAGTGCTCGCAGCTCCTGAAGTCCCCTTCCTGTTTTTATTTAGCTGTGTATCTTTTTTTTAGATAGCTTCACGTTATTTTAAACCTCTGTATGTACTATTCTAGTAGCTCGTGCACTTGTGACACCAAGTTCAGGGATTTATAATAGATGTTTGGTTGGTTTAGCTTCCGCAGTTATACTTTAGGTTATTTTAGTTATTTAAGTTCTCTCTTAATTTTATCATTTAAATTGTTAAAAGAAATAAATTGTTAACGTTGGCTTGCCTTGCGTGAAATGCTAGGCGTCATCACTGTCCCGACGGTGGGAATTTTGGATCGTGACAAGTTGGTATCAGAGCAATAGGTTACATAGGCCTCACGAGTCACGAGCAAACTTAGTAGAGTCTAGAGGATCGGTGTGGAGACATCTGTACTTATCTTCCACAGGCTATGGAGATAGGAACATTTTCACTTCTATTCTTCTCTGTCGTGCGATTTTATTCTATCATTGCTGATTGAACTCTTCTATTTCGTTCTCTCGTAGATGGCGAGGACGCGCACCCCTCTTCAGCTGAGCAGCAACCGGAGCCCCCAACAGCAGCTCCTATGAGGGGCAGAGTTCGAGGCCGAGGCCATGTAAGAGGCCGAGGCAGGGGTAGGGCTCACCCCAGAGCTCGAGCATCAACACCAGCAACGATGCCTCAGGTGGATTTTGACGAGGAGGTTCTAGCCAAGGATGTGCTTATCGGACCAGCTCAAGTCCCTGAGGGGTTCATCGGCTTGATGTATGATAAAAGGCTTAATGTATGCATATTTTGATATATATATATATATATATATAGCCTCACATTTTGCTCACGTCTCGAAGATTTGAGATGTATAAAATGATGATTTATGCTAATTTGTGGTATTTCTATGTGTAGGAATCATTCGGATTCAATTGGGAACGAAATGGCGCGAATTGGAGCGAAATTGGGAAGAAAAGGCAAAAACTGAAGATTTTGAACGCCAGGGCCAGCGGCTCACGTGGCCCTGGATGCTCGAGACGTGAAGTTGTTCTGTTCCGACTAGGACTCGGTTATTTTGACCCCTAGATGCCTCCAACTCATATAAAAGCCAACCTAAACCTATTTTGGATGGGGGACGTGACTTTGAGAGAGGAACAAAAGTACGAAACACTCGGGAGCACGGATTTGATCAATTCTTCCATTCTACTTCAAGTACTCATTGATTTTATGTTTGAAACATTATTTTTGATGGTTGTATGAACATGAGTGGCTAAGAACCCTATTGTTCTGGGTCACGGGTGCTACATGAATGTTGATGTTTGAAGTTAAACTTGACGAATTTGATTTTATTATATTGGGTTGATTATTTAATTCTGTCTCTAATTATTTTTTTGATTAGCTAACAGTGAAATACTATCTATGAATCTAGAGTTGAACTCGAAAGTGGGAACTCTAGATTACATATAGAATTAAATAGAGTAGGTTCTTGAACCTGGGCATCGAGGAACAGATTCGCAATTAGGATAGACATATACCTAATTTCCTTGCTTGGTTGAAATAAAGGACTTGTAAATGCATTCTTTTTAATCTTAATTCCATAGACATATATACAGTAAGTTAGCTTGAATAGGCGAGTAAGAACTCGACAGATTCTTATGAGTTACATCAACCCTGTCAATCAACAATCCAGATAGATCAATTAGGCATTTTAAGCGAAGAACACAACACGATTGTTAGCCTGTGACCCTGGAATATCCTCTCCTATTGATTTTTATTCGAAATTGCTTTATTGTTTTGGTTGATTTCTATTTAATTCACGGCTTGGTAGTTTTAGGTAGTAAATTAGTCACTTATACATTTTGTTGGAAATATCTTGAATCAATAAGTTATTTGAGTTTGAATCAGTCAAAAGTTAATCATAAGCCTTCGTGGGAATGATACTCTACTCACTACTCTATTACTTGACGACCACGTATGCTTGCGTGAGTGTTTATGGTCGCAACAAGTTTTTGGCGCTGTTGTCGGGGACTTAGAAATAAGCTACTTGACTGAGTTAATATTTTATTAGTTATTTGTTCAAGCTCTAATTTTTAGTTTACCTTGTTTGTGTTAATGTAGGCTCTTCTCTTCAATGCGAGGAGTATAAGTGCAACAATCTCCTTCCTCTTGATCCGGAAATTGAACAAACACTTCATAGAGTGAGAAGGGAAGTCGAAGCTAGAACCAGAATAGAAAGAGAGTTGGACATCATAGTTCAACCACAACCAATAGAGATGGCCGGCAATGAAGAGCGTGCAGTTATAGAAGCCGCAAGGCCCAATCTTGCGGATATGACTCAGGCTATTGTGAAGTCTGATATCATAGGGCATTTTGAACTCAAACAGTACATGGTACAACTGATTCAGTCCACAGGGCAATATGTGGGTCTATCTCTTGAAGTCCCGCAGAGGCACATTCAGAATTTCCTGGAAACTACGGACACTTACAATTATCCGAACGTTTCCATGGACTATGTCAAGCTGACACTATTTCCCTTTTCACTGCTGGGGGAAGCTAAGCAATGGTTGCAAAAGGAGCCCGTGAACTCAATCCACACTTGGGATGATCTAGCAAGGAAATTCTTAATCATGTTTTTCCCCACTAAGCAGACAAAGTCGTTGAGGATTTAGATTCTTGGGTTCCAAGAGACACTTCGTCAAGCTTGTGAAAGATACAAGAATCTACTCAGAGACTACCCGCATAATTGTCAGACTGATGAGGTGTTGGGTCACACTTTTTTAATGGGCTAGACGAGGCATCAAAGATGAATCTTGATTTAGCTTGTGGTGGTAGTTGCATGGCGAGGCCGTATACTGAAATCCAACACTTGCTAAATAACTTCACTACTAATGACCATAATTGGGAAGGAGATAGGGACTCACGAAGAGCAATTAAATAGAAAGCAGCCGAGTTGATTGAGCTTGATGACTTCTCAACCAAGAGAGCCGATATAGCAAAATTGGCAAATCAGATGAATAGAATGACAATGCAACAAACACAACACATGGAACATGTACAACAAATGTCTATTTGCTACGAACTATGTGGTGACAGTCATACGAGTGACATGTGCCCCACGAATCCTGAATCTATATACTATGTGGGGAAATAGAGCAGAGGTCCGATGAATCAGCATGCACAATATAGGAACACTTACAATCCAAATTGGAAGAATCATCCTAACTTCTCATGGGGTGGAAATCAGCAAAATCAGAATCACTTTAGGCCCCAAGGAAATTTCAATCAACCTTAGAAGCCACCCCAATAAATGGAAGAGAGTACAAATGATTTGTTGAAGAAGTTGTTGCTTGACGATCAACAGCCCGGGACCAATTTCAGAAATCTTGAGAGGCAAATGGGGCAGTTAGGAGTGAATCAAAATACGAGACCTGCAGGTGCTCTTCCCAGTGATATAGAGAAGAACCGTAAAGTTAATACAGTTACACTCAAAAACGTGAGGGAACTAGAGGAAGTGCCAAAGAAGATAAAGGACAAGCCTATACCTGAGGGGGAGTTGATTCCTAAAGGAACACACGAGTCAAAGAAAGATGAAGCAAGTTCAGAACCAGTGGAGGCTGCAAGGCCGCCACCACCTTTCCCGCAGAGATTGCAGAAAAAGAATGATGATCGCATGTTCAGCAAATTTCTCTCTTTGTTGAGCCACGTTCAATTGAATATTCCATTGGTGGATGTACTTCGTGAAATTACAAAGTATGTTAAGTACATAAAAGATATAGTGGGTGGCTCACAATAGGAAATTGATTGAATTCAAGACGGTGGCACTTACTGAGGAGTGCACCTCGAGGGCCTAAAACAAGCTTCATCAAAAGCTTAAGGATCCTGGCATGTGATGACCCAAAGGGTCATCACCTATTTCCTCACTCGTTCCGTGCTTCCGAGGCCTTGAAAACATCATTTTTACTTGCCTCGATTTGCGTGCGCAGTCCGCGCGCGTAGCCGAAAAATTTTTTATGTTGAAATTTGTGAATTCTAAGAAAAATTTGAAGAATTTTGATATTAACATGATTAAAGTTGACTTTGGTCAATATTTTTGGCAAACGGACCCGGACCCGAGATTGGACGGTCCCGGAAGGTCCGTAGAAAAATATGGGACTCGGGCATGTGCCCGGAGTCGAATTCTGAGGTCTAGAGCCCGAGGAAAGAATTTTTCTGTGAAATTATTTTTCTGAAATTATTAAGGAAATTGGAAATGAAAATTGATTAAAAGACTGTGGTATCGGGCTCGTATTTTGGTTCCAACACCCGGAACAAGTCTTATATATTGTTTAAGCGCTTTCTGTAAAGTTTGATCGAAATCGGACGTCATTTGACGTGTTTCGGACCTAAATATCTAAAGTGGAAGTTTATGAATTTTAGAAGAAAATCACGAGTTTTGAGGCTTGATTCTATGAACATAATGTTATTTTGGCAATTTGATCGCGCGAGTAAGTCCGTGGGATGTTTTTGAGGTTGTGTGCATGTTTGGTTTGGAGCCCCGAGGGCTCGGGGGAGTTTTGGATAGGCATCGGATTGCATTTTCTCATTTTTAAAAATCTGGTATTTTCAGTGCTGGTGTCTTCGCATTTGCGAAGAAATGATCGCAAATGCGATATCGCAAATGCGACCACTTGATCGCAAATGCGAAAAAGGGGAGACTTTGCTTGGGCCGCAAATGCGACAATATGTTCGCATATGCGAGGGCCGCCCAGTCGCAAATGCGACGTCTTCCTTCGCAAATCCGATAGCCCCCTTTTCCCTCTGTGTTCGCCAATGCGGGAAAAGGCTCGCAAATGCGAGGTAGGGGTCATCGCAAATGCGATGTAATTTTCGCAAATGCGAAAATTGCCTCCAGACCCAAGTTCGCAAATGAGAACTAAAATGTTCGCAATTCCCACGCCTGTTTTGTTCGCAAATGCAAACCTATGTTCGCATTTCCCATATCTGAGGCCCAACAAATTTTATACTTAGTCGAATTTTCATCAGTTTTCACCATTCTTTCAAAACCCAAACACCATAGGCGATTTTTCAAGAGTAAACTTCATCCCAAATCATTTGTAAGTTAATTTTTACTCAATTCTTTCAACTTTTAACATCATTAAACATGTTTTCCACTTGAAATCAAGGATTTTCATGGGTGAAATTGGGGTTTTTGGGTAGAACCTAGGTTTTCCATAAATTGGGGAGTTGGACCTCGATTTGAGGTCCGATTTCAAAACAAATTATATATTTGAACTCGTGGGGGAATGGGTAACCGGATTTTGGTTCGAACCTCGAGTTTTGACCACGTGGACCCGGGGGCATTTCTGGAATTTTTGGGAAAAACTTGGGAAATTCATTTTTATGCATTCGAATTGTTTCATATAGTGTTTATTAAAGTAATTAAGCAATTTGTGATTAGATTCGAGCGAATTGGAGGTGGAACCGCGAGGTAAAGCGATAGTTGAGGATTAAGTGGATTTCAAGGCTTTGAGGTAAGTGTTTGGTTTAACCCTAGCTTGAGGGAATAGGAGTTGAGTCTTGTTGCTAATTGCTATGTGATCGAGTACGATGTATAGGCATGGTGACGAGTATCTATACATTAGTGTCTAGCATGACCGTGAGTCCTTATAATGTGATTATCATGAACTGATTGTGAATTTCATGTTTATTGGAGTATTTCTATATGTTGTGAATAACATGTGAATGGTGATATGATAATTTGATTCCTAGGAGCATTGGCTCGAACTGTGATACGAATATTAAAAGTATATGAAATGACTTGATTCATTGAGGAGCGTCGGCTCCAGTTGTAGAACGAATTGCGAAAGTATAAGTGATAATTGAACCTCTGGAGCATCTGCTCGAGTTGTGAAAAGAATTGTGAAGTAAAAGAGAGAAAGAGGAGAGATCATTATGTTGCCCTCTTGGCGGGCTATTGTTGGGTTGTGATTCCTCTGCATTGTGTTCTTAACGGATACTAGGGTCGCTTAGGTTAATGTTTCCTTGTGTCGTATGATGACTATAATTATAGATGGGTTGGTTGGGTGTGGTAGTCGGTTAGATATAGCTGAGGTGGTCAAGTGTGGTAATAGGTTGGTTATAGCTGTGGTGGTCAGATGTTGGAACTAATGTGGTGGTTAGATGTTGGAACTAATGTGGGTATAGTAATTCCCTTGCCGGGATATTTGAGATAATGTTTTGTTCCCTCACTGGGATGTCATTATATTGTTGTTTGTGACGGAATATGAGATAAGAATTTCTTGGAGCTTGGGCTCCAGTGATATCGTGGAGTAAGAAAAGAAAGAAAGGGAAAGAGTTACTGGTTATTCCCTTGCCGGACGTTTTGTTGATTCTGTTGTTGGTTTTTTTTTCTCTCCCTTGCCGGGATACTGAGATTTATTAAGTTGTTTGTCATGTGTATTCCCTTGCCGAGATTTTCATTATTGTTTATTTACTCTCTTGCCCCGTATTTGTGACTGTGGTTTGGATGAGGAAATATGATCTTGGTGGAGCGGGTTGCACGCTGCAACAATGATATTGAGGATCGGGTTGCACGCCGCAACAATGACATTGAGGATCGGGTTGCACGCCGCAACAATGATATTGAGGATCGGGTTGCACGCCGCAACAATAATATGTGAGGGTCGGGTTGCACGCCGCAACAATAATATGTGAGGGTCGGGTTGCGCGCCGCAACAATGATACATGATAAATGATAAGGGTCGGGTTGCACGCCGCAACAGTGGTATTTGTGGAGCGGGTTGCACGCCGCAACAATGGTACTTATGGAGTGGGTTGCACGCCGCAACAGTTATTTGATGCCCTGTGTTTATATTGAGTATTGATTCCTTGTTTATGGTGGATCTAAGTTGCTTTAGTTTATTACCCTGGGATACTGTTAATATTGTATCTCCCCATAGCATGTTTCCCCCTCCCATATTGTTAATTGCTTTGTATTCGATTTTCGCTATATATTTATAACTGCACAGGTTTATGTGGTGTCCAGTCTAGCCTCGTCACTATTTCGCCGGGGTTAGGCTAGACACTTACCAGCACATGGGGTCGGTTGTGCTGATGCTACACTTCTGTGCAATTTCTTCACAGGTCCAGGTTTTGAGGAGCAGCAGCAGCATTAGTACGGGAGCAGGCTTTCACTTTACGAGACCGAGGTAGCCTTGCAGGCGTCCGCAGTCCCGGCGTCTCTTCTTTATGTTCTCTGTTTTGACTGTTGCCTCATTGTTTTCGAGACAGACAGCTTATATATTTCTTTCATACCTTTGTATTTAGTATATTCTTAGTAGTTCGTGAGTAATGTGACACCAAATCTTGGGTAGAGGTTATTATTGACTATTCCGCATTTTGTTTCATATTTATAAGACAGACTTCCGCTACTGTTCTTAGTAGATTTCATGTTCTATATTGATGCTACAAAATGTTAATATAATTGTTTATTGATGAAAAGGTAAATAAGTTGGCTTGCCTAGCTACCACGAGTAGGCGCCATCACGGCTCTGATGGTGGGAAATCCGGGTCGTGACATGGCAGTTTCACCATCCCTGTGCGAATTGGTAATATCGATGTGGGTCATGCTCTTTGTGATTTGGGGGCGAGCATAAATCTAATGCTCTTGTCCTTGTTCAAGCAATTGGGTCTGGGAGTTCCAAGACCAACCACTGTGATGTTGCAGCTAGCTGATAGGTCCACATCATACATCGCGGGAGTGATTGAAGATGTGTTGCGGCAAATTGGGAAATTCCTCTTCCCTGCGGACTTCATTATTCTAGATTATGAGGCTGATGAACTAGTTCCAATCATATTGGGGCGACTCTCTTGGCTATTGGTGATGCAATTATTAAAGTGAGAGAGGGAAAAATGATTTTGAAGGTGGATGACGAGGAAGCAGTCTTTAATATCTACAAGGAAATCCAACATCCCCGCCACTATGACGAGCTCTCTATGATATCTGTTGTGGAAGTGGATGAGCAACTTCTTGACATGAGTGTCTATCTAGACGATTCTCTAGAGAAAGCACTCATGTTGTTCGATAGCTTGGAGATTGATGATGAGGTTGAAGAGATGATGCATATCCTTGATGCATCTTGTGCTTACATGCAGGGAATACATCCCTTTGAGCCCCTAAATAGGCCAAGTGGGCCTCCTCCAAAGCCGTCGATTGAAGAAGCTCCAAAATAGGAGCTTAAACCCCTGCCCCCTGACCTTCAATATGCTTATTTGGGTGGTTCTGACATTTTACATGTTATTGTTTCTTTTGACTTGTCTAAATTGCAGGAAGAAAAGTTGTTGAGAGTGCTACGTGAGCACAAGCGAGCAATTGGGTGGACGATGCTAACATTAGAGGCATTCTTCCAGCTTTCTACATGCATAAAATCCTGATGGAGGACGGACACAAGCCAAGTGTAGAGCAACAACGCTGCCAAAATCCAATCATGAAAGAGGTAGTAAGAAAAGATCTGATTACGTTGCTTGATGCAGGTATTGTAGTTTTCAATCTTTCATTGCAAACGGGTAAGTCCCATCCTATGTATGCCTAAGAAAGGGGGGATGACTGTAGTGGTTAATAAAATAATGACTTGATTCCCACAAGAACTGTCACTGGGTGGAGAATTTGCATGGATTATAGAAATTGAACAGTGCCACCCCAAAGAACCACTTTCCCCTCCCCTTTATTGACCAAATGCTTGATCGATTATCTGGCCAGGAATACTACTGTTTCCTGGATGGCTATTCGGGGTATAATCAAATTTCCATAGCCCTAGAGGACCAAGAGAAAACCATATTTACGTGTCCCTATGGCACATATGCGTTCTACAGAATGCCCTTTGGTCTCTGTAATACACCTGTGACTTTTCAAAGGTGTATTATGGCTATTTTTACTAACATGGTTGAAAGATTTGTAGAAGTGTTCGTGGATGATTTTTTTGTGTTTGGGTGCTCTTTTGATAATTGTTTAATGAACCTTGATAAAGTGCTTGCTAGGTGTGAAGAGACGAACTTGGCGCTAAACTGGGAAAAGTGCCATTTCATGGTACGTGAAACTATAGTCCTTAGCCACAAGGTATCCAAACGTTGTTTGGAGGCGATTGAAAAATTTTCCCCACCAGCATTCGTCAAAGGCATTCGTAGTTTCTTGGGCCATGCAGGTTTTTATCGTCGTTTCATTAAAGATTTTTCAATAATTTCTTCTCCTTTGTGCAGGCTTCTTGAGAAAGATGTCCCCTTCAAGTTTGTTAATGCCTGTCTGAAAGCATTTGAGGAGCTGAAGGGAAGGTTTTTGACTGCACCAATTATCATTGCCCCAGATTGGGCGCAGCCATTTGAGTTGATGTGCGAAGCAAGTGACATAGCAATCAGAGCTGTTTTGGGGCAAAGGAGGGATAAAATCTTTCACTCCATTATTAAGCAAGCAAAACTTTGAATCCAACCCAGATGAAGTACACAGTTACTGAAAAAGATTTGTTTGCATTGGTGTGGGCGTTTGACAAGTTCAAATCCTATCTAGTGGGAACCAAAGTCATCTTCTACACAGATCATTCAGCTACCAGGTACTTGTTTGAAAAGAAAGATGCCAAACCGAGGCTGATTCATTGGGTCCTCTTCTTGCAAGAATTTGACTTAGAAATCCGAGATCGAAAAGGGACAGAGAATCAAGCGGCTGATCACTTGTCTAGACTAGAAAATCGGAGCCATGTAGCTGAAGGAGGTTCAATCAAAGAAACATTTCCTACTGAGCAGTTGTTAGCAATCACCTCAAGTGAAGCCCCGTGGTATGCAGATTATGTGAATTTTATTTTGCAAGTGGGGTGACACCACTAGAATTGACGCCCGATAGTAGAAGAAGGTTCCTACATGATGTGAGGCTCTACATGTGGGATGAGCCATTTCTATATAGGTAATGCGCAGATCAGTTGGTACGAGGATATGTCCCTGAGGAAGAGATGAATGCAATACTACATGACTGCCATGCTTCGCCATACGGAGGTCATCACGGTGGGGATAAAACCGCCAAAAAATGGGTAAAATCATGTTTTTATTGGCAAAAACTGTTTAAGGACGCAAATGCCTTTGTTAAAAAGTTTGACAGGTGCCAAAGAACCGGAACAATCACGAAGAAGCACGAGATGCCTGTGCAAAACATTCTAGCAGTAGAGATTTTTGATGTTTGGGGGATCGACTACATGGAACCGTTCCCATACCCTAATGGTCATAGGTACATCTTGGTGGAGGTCGACTATGTTTCTAAGTGGGTGGAGGCTATTGGTCTTCCTACTAATGACGCAAAGGTAGTGGTAAGCTTTGTAAAGAAGCACATCTTCACACGGTTTGGGACTCCAAGAGTATTGATAAGTGATAGAGGAACTCACTTCTGTAACAAATTGCTGAATAATGTTCTTGCAAAGTATGGAGTTAGGCACATAGTTTCCACTGCCTATCACCCACAAACGAGTGGTCAAGTGGAAGTTTCCAACAGAGAGGTAAAGCAGATTTTGGAGAAAAGAGTAAGTGGAAATAGAAAAGACTGGGCCGGGAAGCTGGATGACGCATTATGGGCATATCCAACTGCATACAAGACTCTCATAGGTACTTATTTGTATAAGTTAGTTTATGGGAAGGCGTGCCACTTTCCTGTCAAGCTTGAACATAAAGCCTATTGGGCAATTAAAATCTGAATATGGATATGGAGTTAGCTGGTGAGAAGAGGTTGCTACAACTCAACAAGCTTGATGAGTTTCAACTGCACGCATATGAAAATGCAAAATTATGTAAAGAAACGACGAAAAGGTTGCATGACAAGCACATCCAACATCGAGAGTTTGAGCTGTGTCAAGAAGTTCTCTTGTTCAATTCGAGGTTGAAGCTTTTCCCCGAAAAGCTTAAGTCACGTTGGGCAGGTCCTTTTGTTGTGGTAAGTATGAGGCCTCATGGAGCAGTGGAACTGCGTGATACGAGCTCAAGTGGTACCTTCTTGGTAAATCGCCAGAGAATAAAACATTATTGGGGTGGTGACATTGCACGTCACAAGACCTCGGTGGACTTGGCCGATGCTTAAAAATGTGTTGAGTCGTGCCGCGACGTTAAATTAGGCGCTCGTTGGGAGGCAACCCAATTTTTATTGCTTTCGTTGTTTAGTTTTTATTCTCTTCTAGTTTGAGTAGACTAATTTTGTTGTTTTCTTTGTAGTTCAATAATCTTAGGTGAGAATGGTGTGGGGTGTGTGTGACGTATGTATTTAGTGTTCGAGTAGTTGAGATTCTAACAAAAAATGAAAAAAAAAAGAGCGAAATGAGCGCCCAGGCCAGCGCCCCACGCTTCCTGGGGCGCACTATCCAGTAGGTGAAGAAAACCCAACGCCAGCCCTAGCGTGGGGTACTGGGCTAGTGGGTCAGGTAAGTATATTTTTTATTTTCTTAATTTTGTTTCTTTGTTTATTTAAAATACCAAACCAACATAACCCTACCCAATTACCCATATACACACACAACCTAACCCATACACAATTACCCAAACTCATCCCCCACCTAAATTAAAATAGCTAAAGCGCAAAACCCCCTTTCACTCTCACGCCTAAAGTGTTGATCTTTTCTTCTTCTTCTGCCTTGTTTTCTTTGTGCCCTCTCTCCAAAAATTTTCTTGCTCACCTTAATCCCAAGACTCAAAGGTATGTTCTTCTTGTTATCTCTTTTCTTGTATTTTGGGATTTTCTTAGTGTATGTGTAGTCTTCTTTCTCCAACAATCCCCAATCATCTTTGTCTCTTAAACATACTTTGATGTTATTGTGGGTGGCTTTATTGTACACGAAATATGGTGCAAAATTTGGTTGTGAATTTGTGTTTGAAGTAGTAAACTTTAATTCCCTCTATTTCATGTAAATTTGGGAGGGCCACCTTGTTCTACCATTGTTGAAATAAAAGAAGCAAAATTGATGCCCACAAGGTGTTTGCTAAAACGCCTAAGAGAGTAAATTGAACACCGGTGAATTATGAGTAGCCGAGTGTAGTTGTATATGACATTGGGGCGAAGTGTGGGGTGTTTGGGGGTGTTGTATCTTGCTGTAAACTCTTGTAAGTCGTAGTTAGTGTACTATATTAGTGTATTGATGTAAACTTTAGCTTTGGTATGCTTGCACCATAGTTTAGTTACGGCCATGTTAGACTACTTGAATTGTATGGCATAGGGAAGTCTTGAGTAACTATAGCCTTGTGATGACACATTGGTGCATGTTGAACCAATATTGTGGGTCGATTATGCATAGCCTTCGATATTAAGTGGGGGGGGGGGGGGTCCTCTTTGCCCCTCACGATGACCTAAGGCAAAATTTCTTGATTCACTCTCATCTTTGTGTTTATTGTGTGTAGGTTGCTATGGCTCGTGATAGTGCCGCCAAAGGAAAAGGGGTGGGGAAGTCCTCCACTACTGCTGCCCCTCCCAAAAAAAGCAAGCAAGGTGAGGGTTCTTCCTGGAAAGTTAAGGGAAAGCAAGGTTCTAGTGGGTCTACGAAGCAATCACGGCCTTGGGTGGAACTAGTGCGAGATGATGCCATCAAATGGGATGACACATTTGTTCCACATGGGAGATATGTCTCCCAAAATGGGGATTAATGTAAAGGTCTTAGAACGGAACTTCCCATATGTACTTTCCAGATTGGTAGAAAAGAATATGGATAAGCTCCTCGAATATCCGGAACCTTCAAATCTAAGCGTGGTAAGAGAGTTATATGCCAATTAGAACGCAAAAAAGGACGAGTCATGGGTCAGAGGAAAGGAAATTCCAATGGATAGGGAAGCCTTCTGTCGCTTTTTGGGAGTTGATAGCCCTAATCCACGAAGGCTTCGAATGTTCGT